GCGGGGTGGGGGGGGGCCCACCCAAGCACCCCTCGGGGATGTGAGACACCCCAGAGGCTCTGGGGTCCCATGTGGTGAGGGGAAATCCCAGCTGGTGGGAAGAGGCCGTTGCAGAGCAAGGGCAGAGCTCCTGCCTCTGGTGTGCTGGAAAAGGGAAGGGATCAGCTTCTCTGTGTCTGCCAGCTTAAATGAAATCTCTTAAAAACATGTGACTCCGTTGTCCTCTGTGTTCGGGACAGAGCTGTCGGCTCTCCATCAGCACACAGCCAGGGACAAGCTGGTCCTTGGGACAAGTCGCTTGCCTGGGCGGGAACTGGGACCACCATCCTTGCCTTGCCCTGGGCAGCCTGTGGCAAGTCCCTTCACCTCCCCGTTCCTGGGGCTGCCACCTCACCCCCTCCCTGGGACACCCCCGGGACAACCCCAGGACATCCCACCCATGGTGGCTCCTGCTGCTTCAGAGAGAGCCCACGGGGGCAGGGGCCACCACTGCCCTGGGAGTGCAAACTCCCCCCGTGCCGAGTACCACAGGGCTGTTGCTGTAAGAGCAACGATGCTTGTCAGCACCGAGAAGCTGAAGAGTGAGACCCTGCATTTTCAAAAAGAGAGAGAAAACAAAGCATGGGTCTCTGCACCGTGGATGAAAGGGAAAATGCTTTTTTCTTTTAGAGGTGTCTTTGCAAGGGCTGTGCTACCACAAAACTTAATTTCTTGTGCCGTGTCCCACAGCAAACCAAAGAGGCTCCTGCCACTATGAGAAGAGCCTCTTCCCGATGTGAAAGCCACTCTGCCTTTCACACCCCTACATCGGCTGTCCTGGGGCTTTATTAGCTGCAGGTTTCAAGCGCCCATGTTTGAGAAGCCTGCGTGGGAAAGCAGAGATGCTGCCACCGTCCCTCCCAGCCCCGCGGTAGGGTCCCCGCTCCGATGCTGATGCTGCTTTGGCAATGTGCGATGAGCTCTGCCAGCTGACCCCAGCCCCGACCCTCCAGAGCCTGTTTTTTCTGCTTTTCCAGTAAGTTGAATTGAGGAGAAAAAAAGCTGCATGGGAGAACGAGCATTTTAATTAGATTGATAGCAGCCAGAGAAGGCAGGAGAGGGGCTGCCAGCTTGGCAAATCCAATTTGTTTTAACTGAATGGAGGAGTAAAGTTAACTCTCTAATCTCTGCTCAGCATCGCTCAGGGGGTGCCTCCTTCCCTTCCCACTCGCTCAGGTGCCTAAGACCCAGGGGTGGGTAGACGAGAGCCCCGTGGAGGCTGTACGGCCCCCGCTTTATCCAGACAAGGTTAAATTCTGGCAGAAGACAGAAATAATGAAAGTCGTTAACCATAACTGAGACTGCAGCCCCTGGCTGGGTAGCATCCAGCAGCATGCGGCTGGGGGAAACGTCAGCTTTTCCCTTGGGAAATCTTTCTTAGCTCCCGTCTGACGGCCTGAGTCCTGACCCCTCCTTTCCAGCAGCATCCCAGTGGGAAGGGCTTGGCTGCTCCCCTGTAACCACATGGGATCCCCACTGCTGGTGCAAACCAGAGAAGAGGACAGAGGACTGATGTCCCTCAGTTTGGGGGGCAGCATGGGGAAGGCTGGAAAACCCTGGCCCTGTTGGGATCTATGGATGGGAACATCTGCGGGGTGGTTGTCCTCATGTCACATCACACCGGTCAGTACTGGGACCTGCCCTGGCTGCGCACCCCTGCGCACCCCTGCACCCACACACCCTGCACCAGCTGGGCCAGAAAGGATGGAGCGAGCATCCAGCCCAGCACGGGGGCGCGGGGTTTGCTGGGCAAAGCAGAGGAGGGAGCGGGGGGAGGGAGGAGGGCGTTCGCCTTGGAAGGTGGGGGGGTTGGGGCCTGCTGCTAATAAGCACCTTGTACCCATCTGAGGGTGGGGTTGGAAAGAAGAGTCATCTTATTTCTTTTCTGCAGCAGACAGCTTGATCTCTGACTTGATTTCCAGGCAAATGGTAGGGGGATTCACCCACTCTGTTATTTCCACTTTGTTTCCCTTTCAGTTTGTCTCTCATCCACTTGCCCAGCCTCTTCCCTTGCTGGGATGCTCCCAGACCCCTTGCTGGGCGGCAGCGCATCGTCCCCACCCTCCGCAGCCCCAGCTGCGCACAGCAGCTCATCTGGCACCCTCGCTCCCTCCCCGCTGGTGCAAATCAGGTGCTGGGGAAAACGGGTCTCACCGAGGATCCGGGCCTGGGCCTCCTGCAGGACCCATGCAGGACCCAAGCTGCCTGCAGGAGGAAACACTGATGGGTGTCACCTGTGGCTTCCTCCCCGTCCCCAGCCACTGCAAAGCTGAGGGTAGCTGAAGCCATTTGATGAGGAAAATATTTTTCCATTTATAAATCCATGCCTGCATCTGCTGGAATTATCTTCTGAAAAGGTGAGGGATGAAGTCATGCCACAAATCTGGATGCTGATTTTTTTTTTTTTTTTTTGGTTCCCTACTCTGGTCACGGAAACCCAAATGTGTGACATTAATACTTCAAGTCTGGCCCAAAGAACGAGGCATTTGTCAGCTGCCTTTTTTTCTGTTTCCAAATTGGCAATCTGCACTTTTATACATGTTTCCCCATTTCCAGTTGCTCGATTAAGCCTTTTTACAAAGTTAGCCCAGCGTGGGATTTGGCCACATGCTCCTTACTTTGGAAAAAATGCCATTTTTTAAAATTTATTATCAGCATCAGCAAAACAATATGGCATTGCTCATGTCGCCCAGCTGGAGGGCTCCCTGCCCCACAGCGGGGCCGCGCGATGGCCGTGCAAATGCTTCCAGCGTGAAGGCACCTACTGAAGCATGTTCATTTAAGAGCCAAATGCCACCAAAGTCAGGGCGTATCCGGGGTATTTTCTCCTCTTTGCAGACGAGAACCTCTTTGTGGGACTCCTCAAGGCAGGATTTTGGGGAAAGTGAGGGGTGCTGTGGAAGAGATGCACCTGCTGGGGAGCCCGGGAAGGTGCAGGAGCGGGGTCGGAGGCTTCCTGAGCAGGAGCGCGCGAGCTGGCACCCACCAACACCAGACGTCCTGAGCTGAAAGGAGGGAAGAGCTACCAGGAATAAGCTGTTCATTTCCACTTCCTAGCGAGTCTTCCTTATCTATAGCCTGAATTTTTGGTTGCATTTTTCAGGAGCCTTGCCGATGACAGAGAAAACAAGTTTTCTAGAAGAATAACTATTTTTATACTTTCTCAAAGCTATTTTACACACCCAGATTCATGTTAAAAAAAAAGGGGGGGGGGACACGGACATTTTTTATTCTTTGATGTCTAATTGCCATAATCTGAAAATAAACCAATAAAAGAAACATCTGAACTAATGATCTGCCATCACAGAGCCTTAATGGAAAAAATCATCCTGTCAAGTATTATTACATTAAAGCCATTTCAGAACTTAAGAAAAAAAACCTAATGGGACAGTGATGTGGTTTTCAAAATATGTATCTTTAAAAATCTATAACATTCTGAAGCAAAAAAATTCAATTGCCTGTTTCTTTTTTCCTCCATTTTCAGCTTTTCAAAACACGGATTTGAGATCTTCTACCTCAAGCATTACCGCACACTGCAAAGCCGGAGCCAAAGAAGTCCTTAATCAAAAGCATTCCCTACTTTTTAAGATACTGCCTACCTTTAATTCTCATTTATTCCTTTAAGGAAATAAGCCAAGGCAGAGTGGTTGCTGAGTTCGGGACGTGAGCTGCACACACAGCAGCTACCTTGCCATTCGCTGCTTTAATACTAATGGCAATAGATCCCCAGTTCAATGCGCTCCTCAAATTTACGGTACCCTGCAGAAAGCCCTGCCGACCTAGAAAAAGTGCCTTTGAGGTGGCTTTTTTAATTTTTTTTTTCATTCATGCTTTACTGAGCCACCCAAAGCAACTTGAGAAGCCGGACCCCATTTCAGCCGTGCAGTGGGGCGGCCAGATCCTCACCGCGGGCTGGGGCTTCTCTCAGCTTACCTGGTTCTGGTCACTTTGAGATAAATTTCTGCAATTCCACCTCTAAGCATTCTAAATCCATCTTGTGCAATGCATGGGGGGTGGAGTGGTTAAGCCGTGTGCCTATGGGGTGGCCCCTGTATCTGTCGGGCATGTTGGCAGCGGGTTTTGGGGGGGAGCAAAAGTACAGCTGGTGCAAACAGCAGAGGAGGCCATCACCTCTGCGCCTTTTCTTCCCCTTTGCAGGCACGCTCTGCTGCCAAGTGAAAGCAGAGCCTCCCTCTGCCAGGGCAGGCAGCAGCACTGAGGGTGTGTGGGAGGACAGGGATGCTCAGACGGGCAGACACGTGTCCTCACGCACAGGTAACGATGAGTTTTGGTGAGAGCCCATTAAGCTTTAAGGTCCTTTTCTATCTCCAACCTGGCCCCGGTTTCACTGAGGGTGTCTGAGATCCCGGATGAATACCGGCAGTTGAAACAAGGTGCTGCTTCTTGCCTGCTCTTCCTCCTGGGGGGGCATGGGGGACAACCAGCGGTGACGAACTCTTCTCAGTGCCCCGAGTTTTGCATCCGTTCCCGTAAAACCTCGCCATCTCTGCCACTGCTGAACAGAAGGATGCTTCCCCTGGCAAGTGTTTCAAAACATGAGTGGTATTTCCACTTAAATTAGTTGTGTTAAGAATATTTTTAGGACGAAACCAGCTGTCATGATCACACTACCAAGGACCCGTGTTGGCATCAGCCATGGTGCTGCTCTCCAAAGCCGGGTTACAAACCTTTCTAGAAACTGATGGGCAGCTCTTTGCTAAAAAGCTGGATGGGGATGCCCCCTGTTTGGGGCAGGTAGGCTCTGGGTCCTGGGAAGACAGACAGGGCCAAAGAGTGGCCTTCATGCCCCGCCATGCCACGGAGCAGCGGCCAGGTGACCTCGTCCCATGCAGGAGCTCGGGCAGCTCTCGTGGGGCATGCAAGGCCGCCGCCACCAGGGAGCCATGGTGGGAAGCACCAGGGAGAAGAGGCAGCAGGAGAGGTGCTGGGGGAGGGGGAGCCATCACCCCAGGGCCAGAAACATCTTTTGGCATTGAGGCAAGGACAGGTCAAAGAGAAACCTGTGAGGCACTGGTCATGCCAGGGCAGGACTTGTGCAGGTGTCCCCTAAAAATTTAGGCTTCCCAGTGTGTTTGTACCTGCTGAGCACACGCCCCCCTCCTGTGCTGGGGTCCCCGGTCTGAGCACGCCCAGGAAACCCAGGGGTTGCTCTTAGCCTTGCCATCGCGTTAACGTATTGATGATCATTTTTCTGGAGTCCGAAGGTGACCCCAGGCTGCCGGCTGGGGAGCCCCTGTACCGAGCCGCTGGCACACTGCTGCTCAAAGGCATCAGCTCCGCAGCGTCACCTTTTCCTTTGCTCGCTGGAAAAGCTGGGCATCGCTGCTGTGGTCGCTCTGAAAGAACGCAGTTTGCAGACCTGATATTTCCTGAGTGAAACACAACTTTTAGTTCTTCAGGGTTGGTTTTGGTTTGGTTTTTTTTTTTCCCTCAGGTCAAATAGGAGCCTGCTCGGGGCAAACATCAAATACTTTTTAAAAGCCTTTTCTGCTCTGCTTCTGCGAGCCTCTCTAAAGCAATGGGTATTTGTATAAAAAATTGAAATATGCATGTATAGAACCAAAAGGAACCTGGAAAAAAAAGAAACCTATCTGTAAGGGATCTCGAAGGAGACAATAAAGTTGCTAGAAATTATTCTGGAAGCAGGCACAAAGACACGGAGCTCGGTCCCAGGTACTTGAAGCCACTGCGGGTGAATAGACAGGCGTCACCCGAATCGCACGTCGTGCCAGGCAGGACCACCGTGAGCGCAAGTATCAGCCTTCCTCCGCCCGCAGGGAGACCTCTCGCCCCAAGGTTTCATTTTTTCTAGGAGTACCACAGGGGGAAGAGGGCGCGGATTTCCATCCGTCTCCATTCCGTGGCTCTACATCCCTGCGAGGGAAGCCCTCCCGGCAGCCGGCAGGGGTGAGGAGGTGAGAGATCCCTGCCTGCTGCTGCTCCGTTCTCATGAACCGCAGAGGAGGGTTCCAAGTTTTTTAGCAACTTTTTTTTCTCCCCTTCCCTAAACGCCGCCTCTTCGCTCAAGTCTCACCTTTCCCTCCAGCGCTTCTGCCTCGGCTCGGGGAGTTTTGGGGCTTCGAAGGCCGCCCGCAAGCGGCGTGGGGCTCTTGCCAAGCGGTGCCCACGGGCTTGGGCGTTTCCCCA